TGTGAGGAAGTGCAAATGAACGTTATTACCCCACCCCACCCCCCCACCCCACCCCAATGAGCAAAAAAGCAACAAAAGTACGCGGCCGTCTACCAAGCGTGTGCCAACTACGTCTTACATGGTCTGAAAACATCAGACAGACCGTCCCCAAAGACAATGTTCGAATGGTTGTGGCATCAGATCAAAGGATTGAATATTCTGAGACGGATCACTGACAAGGTCAGAGTCTAGCCAGAGGTCAAAGAAGAGATCTTTTGATTGATTTGGACTCAGATCGCAGAAGAGCTCAGAGATACCAAACCATTTCTCACAGCATTGCCAAGGAGTTACAGGACTTTCACAACAGTGCTGCGGAAGTGGCGATTCCTGAGCCCCCCACCTTCCAGGACTAGCAGGGCACGGAACCTTGATTGAGTTCTGCACGGGGAATGATTCCATGATGGGAAAGGTTGGGAAGGATTCCGGAGTTCATGTGATTCGATGTTTTGAGAGTCATCTGAATGTAGAAGACAAGGGAACAATGAAGGTTCTTTACAACATTGTGGGCACAAAACCTGGGGTAGATCTTTGGGGCTCTTTGCCATGCGATCCATGGTCTCAATGGCAAACCCTTAACATCCATCAGTATGGTCAAGCTTTTGCAGATGAGCTGGAAGCCAGAAGACAGAAGTCCAGGCTGCTTATCAGCTTATCAAGATTTTTTGCAAGCTGGCTCGCGCTGTTGCGCGACAGGGAGGGCGTATAACGTTCGAATGGCCACGACACTGCGTGGGTTGGTCTGATCAAGATCTTCAGAAGCTGATTCGAGACTTAAACTTGATGGTAGTCGATTTTGATGGATGTCAAGTGGGTTTGACGGATTCCAACGGGGGTTTGCATTTGAAGAAATGGCGATTGATCACTACAGACAACCGTACGGCCAGAATTTTCAATGCGTTGAAGTGCAACCATCCAAAGGAGTTCAAACATGTACCCATTGAAGGTTCACGGACACGTCACACTGGTTTTTATCCGAGACTGATGTGTGAGTACGTCATGCACGCCCTCCACCCAGACATCATAGCACAGTATGTTCCAGCTATGCCGGTGTCCCCAATTCCAGATGAACCACAAGTCCATCGAGAACGTGAACCCAAGGAGAAACCAGAAAATGATTCTTCCATTTTTGATTCAATAGATCCTCTTGCTGCAGCGGCTCGTCTAGGTTCTGATGAAGAGCCAGCAGACGATGAAGCTGAGGACATGAAACCAGAGATGACAGACTGAGGCGAGAGGCAACATCCTTGGAGCACCTTACCCTCCATGACAGGAAGAACCCATTTTGTGAGTTTTGCCAACGTGGTAGGATGTTGAAAAGGTACTGCAAGCGAGCAAGACAGATTGACGATGAAGATGGTGAAAGGTTGATTCATAGGCCCACTACTTTTGGAGATATCATTGAGGCCGACCACATGTTCCCATCACAAGAGGCGAAGGGGCTTTCAGATGAACAGTCAGCTCTGGTGGTGAGAGATAGATCTCAGGGGCTGTAATGGTTTATCCTCAAAGTGAACGCAATGAACAGGCCAACTATGAATCACTCCGTCATTTTGCAGGCAGGTATCTTTCAGGCAAAAAGGGTGTGCTATTTGTCCCAGACAATGCAAAAGAGCTCACAGGTGCTGCTTCGCGACTGGGTTGGAATCCAGATCCGTCAGTACCGGGGTTTTGGCCCCACAATGCAAATTGCGAGCGTGAAGTCAGAGCTATTAAGGAACTGGCTAGGCCGACCCATGTAGCTGCAGGGTTTCACAGAAAATTGTGGCCACTATCTGTTGACTTCACAGCAAAGGGGCATTAGTATTTTTCAAGTCGAAAGGTGATGGCATCTCTAAACCGAGCACCAAACCGGGCATTTTTGCAGGATGGCATGTGTCACCGGGTTTGCGTTGCAAGGGTTGCCTTCTTATACTCGACTATGAAGCCCTACGCGCTAGATCACATCTATATTGGGTCCCTAAACAAGTTCAAGCACAAGAAGTCTATCTTCCTCCAACTGATCGGATTGAATTCCCCCTAGCAAGGGCTGCACGTCAAGCACTTCTCAACATGTCAGACCCAGAACGAGAGATCGCCAAGGAGATCTATGACAGGTCTTTCACAGAAGGCGTTCTTCCTCATGATATTGGAATTGATGCATTTCCCATTGAAGACAAACCTCCTCCACAACGACATGCCTACATTACATGGGCTAGATTGTTGAAGCATGGTTTCACGAGAGGTTGTTCGGGGTGTGCCATGGGTCACAACAGGCATTCTGATGAGTGTAAAGCCAGGTTTGACGCTATCTTTTCCATGCGCGGTGAGGCTGTTGGGCCAACACCGAAACCAATTGCCGATGGGGAGGAAACGGAATATGAGCCATCTCTAGCTCCTGAGCCTTTTCCAGAAGAGGACGTCCCTGAATGTCCACCAAGGTCCGACGATGAAGCGGACCCTGTTCCAGCACTTGTCACCCGTCAGCTGCCACGATCTGAGGTTCTCTCGCGCGAAGACGCAATAGCAGCCATCAAGAAGGAGTTTGACGGGATAGGTGCTTTGGGGACTTGGGATTTGGAGACACAGTTGCTGAAGATGAGACAGTAAAGAAGAGAGCTATCAAAAATGGGCAAACGACCCATCTAGCTGATCTTTTGGCTATTTGTTCAGAGAAGCATGTGGGGCTGGAACCACAATACAGGTCATTGAAGGGTAGAGTTTGTTACAGAGGAGACCAAGCCGGTACAGAAAAGGGTAATTTGGCACTGTACCAGACTATGAGTGCCTCGCCAGCATCGATCACAGCGGCCAACGCCATTATATCATATGGGCTGATGCAGGGTCACAAGATCACACCCGCCGATGCTGCGAAGGCATACCTCCAAAGTCTACTCAACTCATTAGCCGAAACTTGGGTCCGGCTTCCACATGAGGTTTGGCCAGAATCATGGTTTGATGAACATGGACGGCCACGCTACAAACGCCCAGTCATTAGACTGCTTTGCAGTCTATATGGTCATCCTGAGGCTGGAGCTCATGGGGAGCGAAAGCTAGAGCAGGAACTCCTTGACATGGGAGCAGTTCGAGTACCAGAGTATCCAAGCACATACACGTTTCCATCATATGGTAATCTTGCACTGGTGGTGTATGTAGATGATTTCTTCTTGAGTGGCGACAGTAGCTTCCATGATGCTTTTTGGTCAGAGCTGTCAAAGCGAATCATGATTCAGGACGTTTGGGAAGATTCTTGGGAAGACATCATACAACCGTATCACATGACGGACATGAACAACTTGCTTTTGACATGAGAGCATATGCCCGTGATACTATCCAGGACTATGTCAACATTACCAACACCAAGACGATTAAGAAAGCACATACACCATTTTTAGCTAAGGTTGCTGAACATCTTGATGATGACGGCACGGTTGGCGAGTTGGCTTCTACTGCTAGTTCAGTTTTGATGAAGCTGATGTGGATTTCGCTTGGCGTGCTCAGAGCAACAATACAGAAGTGGAGTCGATCATGTGACGCCCATACCCGGTTACGTGTCCGAGAGGACAACGAAGCCACTGCAAAGATTGGTCTCTATAGCAGGGTATAGCAAACGACTGAGACATCTTCGTAGGACACAGAAAATCCAGTTGGCGTCATTGAGTGAGCAGTTGAATTAATCTGACTTTGAGTTGATGCTGGTTAACACTATGTTAACACTTTATTCCAAAAAGGCTGATGTGTTCACAAAGGCGGTAGCTGAACCACTGTGGGAAAACGCAATGAAGCTTCTCAGTATTTTAAATGACGGCAAGATTCTACACACATCGTCAACGGGGCTCAAGATGAATTTTGAGAATCTGGACGAAGCTCTAGGTCCTAGTTATGGTGAGGTGCGCCCAGAATCGAAATCAGTGCCGAAGGCAGCGGCGAAGAAGCGCTACAAGAAGAAAGCGCAAAGAATACTGCCCTATGTGAAAGCACCCGAAGCCTCCGATGAGCGTAGGTGTAGTTCGTAGTTTTCCGACAGGGGGGAGATGAACATACTCAATCAACTCCTCACCTTGTGCATGAGTATCTATGATGTTGCACCCATTGACTGTAAAGTGTACATGATGTCATTTGGAGTCAACAAGGAATAACATGTTCTTTTATCCTGAAATCCGGGATGAAACTTCAAGACTTGGCCACGGACGTTTGGCTCAAGATGTCCGCATAAAAAGAGCGCTAGTCTTCGCGAATCTACTGGACTGCATTGCTGCATCGGTATCTTGAATCATCACCCTGATGTGTCATTAAATTTGCGGATTTACTGGTTATTGACCGATTTATCTAATTATGGTGTTTCAGATACTAGCAACCCGGCCGCGTCAAAAAAAAGTAAGCAATTGCCCAAAAAGGCTCCAAAATCGACATTTTGAACCAACACGTGAGCAAACTTTGTTCTTCTGGGGTGGATTTAGTAAGGTTCTTTGTGCTGATTGATGGTGCTTCTGTGATGAAGTGATTGGCGTTGCTTTTATTTAGTGGGTGGTAATGTGGATTTAAAACTGAAGAATGGTGTTCCGGATGTTTACAAATCGATCAGTTATAACTAAAAAACAAATATGACTGATGCTAAGCGTCACTGTGCAAAGATCCGATGTGTATAGTAGGTGATTCTGGTGTTTTTGTTGTGGCACGGAGCCCCTCCGCGCTCTGCGCGGTGGCGCCCTCCACAAACTTTACAGCAGCGCCTCCCATAAATTTTAACAAAGGAGGCAACACCTCCTTGAAAACAGGCTTGTGCGCAGGAGACCTTGCAAGGCCTTCCTTATAATGTCTGTCGAGCTATGATCAATCAATAACTTTGGCGTTACAGGAGGTTTCGATATTAAGGGCGATGTCCTCCTTGAAAGTTTCCGGGTCGTTCTCGGGGCCACTGTGTTTATGCGAAAGCGAGCAGCACCAAAGGACATTTGTTCAGCTCACATGCCTCGGTCCCGAACCTAACTAGCAGAAGAACTTTGGTGAAGTCGAAACTTCATATGCACCAACAAGTCGTCCAGGCAAGTGAAGCAGCCTTCGAAATGCGGCGCCTGGGGCAGCAGGTCATGAGGCATGGCGTTGATGGCGCCCAAAAGAAAAGAAGCAGCGCTATCCAACTCACCAACCTTTCCTGCAAGCAACCCGCGCGATGTCAAAGCTGGACATTTCTCGATCTTCTCTTGCATAGGCTGGATTTGTCCAGACCTGGTGTAAAGGTGAGCGGTCCATGTACAGTCTGTGGGCTCTGTGCCAGGGCGGTCCAGCGTCATCTGAAGGATGGTGAAAAACATGATGGCACAGGCAAGCGCACATGACCTGGTGCGGTCTTCCTTGAAGAAAGGCTGGCAAAAAATCAAAGCCTCACGAGCATTTTCCAGCTCAAACGCGCTCTTCTCCTTGAGTGCTGGATCCCACAGCAAGAAGGCTTGGACGCCCAACTGCAAGTCAGCTCTGTTGAGGACACCTTGGGGCAATCTCTTCTCACCTGCTGCTGCCATGTTGCAGGTTAGACTAGTTTTGTGAGCCAAAGCCTGGGTCGAATGGGTCGATGCGATGGACAAAGCAAAACCGAGGTTGAATTGCATTGCGGCAATGTTCAGCACTGAATGCGCAAGCAATGTGGTAACCACGGCTAGCGCAGCTGACTCAAATGATTTTCAACAGGTCAAACTGGAAACATGCCGCCTATTCTTCAAAGAATGCCACGTGCTTGGAAAATGCATCGCACTAAGCGTCGCACTACACAAACAGACATGGCGTTGCCAATCATATGTCCTAATACCCTTTGTGGAAAACGTTGAAGTTCTTCAACATCTCCAGGCTTGTAGGCCCCAGGCCACACGCCTTGAAGCAAAAAAAAACTATCGGGGTGAGGAACCTCTGGCCTTGATGCCACCAGTAGCAATGCTTTCCTTTGCATCTGGTGGCAGTGAGGCAGGGGCATTTGTCCTCCATCCAAGTTGCTGAAGAACCGCCTGTGTCGACAATGAAGTCAGAGTCTTGTTTGGCCGGATTCTTGTCCAAAAAGTCTTGAAACTGGATCAAGTTCTTGCGGGCTGTGCTGGATAGAGCTGAGCCGTCGACATCGTGTGTCTTCTCCCGCAAGTTGCACTTCCATTCCATGGCAGGATTGCCAAGGAGCTGCTTGAGCGTGAGCCGCTCCTTGAAAGGCACTGGCCACTCAAAGTGCTTCACTTGCACGTCTCGGCGAATACCCACTCTGCAGAAACTCAGCCGTGGGAAGTAATAACTAAGTTGGAGGTACACTCACAGCTGGGCCAGGACTGCAAGGATCTTAAAATGTCTCCTGCTAAAATCAAGACGGTTGTACCATGCCATGCGTGTGACCCGTACTAAATTCGGGCCAACTGCAGCATTCAACGCGTATTTGACTGCCATGCTCGTGACCCGTACTAAATTCGGGCCAGCTGCAAGAGTCAACGCGTATTTGGCTGCCATGCTCATGACCCGTACTAAATTCGGGTCCTCTGGAGAGTTCAAAGACCAGGACTGCCATGTTAGCACATGGTCAACCGTGTAAGAACACGGCGGCCAAACGCGTATTTGCCTGCCGTGCTACCACCTGGCAGACCGTGCACTAACATGGCGCAGCCTCCTTGATAAAGAAAGGAGGCTGCCATGTTAGCACATGGTAAACCGTGTACGAACACGGCGGCCAAACGCGTATTTGCCTGCCATGCTGTACATGGTGAACACATGCAACACATGGCGGTCGAACTGCTTCCTGGAAATAGTAGGGAGAGGCCTTAGTAGCGATCTTTTTTAACTCAACTTGCTGCCCGCGGAAGGCAAAAATAGACAACAGGAGACTGCAGAAGCCTCCTTGCAACATGAAACGTTCGGCCTGTACAGGACCAGGAGACCTCTTGCACCTCCTTGTACCTTGTTACTGAGTGAATTCAGAAGTACGATGCCTCCGTCCTTGCAGGAGTCTACTGGAGCCTCCTTGATTGCTATTGCAGCGCATGCCAATTGACAGCCGTAGTTGCAGCAGGACAGGAGGCTCTTGACACTCCTTCTGCAATCAAAGTTGCCGAAAACAATTTCACCTTTTCTCTTCCGTCGTCGCGCACAGGAGACTTCGCTTGAACCTCCTTCGTGGACGAGTTTGCTTGAGTTGGGCGGGTGGCACTGACACACAGGAGATAGGTAGCTTTCAGCAGTGCGGTGAGCAGGCGAAGCAGCATGTTTGCGGAAACGAGCCACACGAATGTCACCACTGTTCACTTCATACCTTGCAAAGTGATGCCTGGAAACCGGAAACTTGGACATGGCTTCAGGACTCACTTCCTGAGCATCATGGCACAGTCGGCAGCCCAAGCCCCAACTGCCACTCTCCATATTCATTTTGGCGTCCAACCATGCTAATTCTTTCTGCCATACAGGCTTATATTTCACCCATGTGCATCGAGCACATTTTGCACCTGCAGAGCAAGCTTTCACATGTGCATCATCATCATAGCCGCCAAGCGAACAGTTGCCCAACTGCTCTGACATACTTGCTGATCCCTAGGTTTGAGCCGGTCAAGCAGAAAGGGAAATGTGTGCGGCTTGCAGCTAACAATAATAATGACTGATCAACTGATAGGAAAGCCTGCCAAGCTGGCTGCCGCCATGAAAGAAATTACTGAATGACACTCAGCCACCGTTCAAAGTGACCCCTTCGGCCATTTTTTCCCCTCAGCCGCGTCTCCCCTGCGGCGATGAGACGTTGATACACTCCGGACAACGGTCAGAGGCGACGTCCAAAAATGATCTTCAGCAAGTATCTGAATCTCAGTCTGGGAAATAGCAGCTTCAACAGCGCAGCTCTGCTCGGATCTTTTTGGCTAACTGGCGTGTCTCCGAGTTCTCAGCTGTCAGTGTTAAACATAGGGGTTTAGTTTAGTAACAAAACTTGAGCAAAAAGAGTCGAAACTTCTGGTGCAGTCAAGATGCGCTGTTCATCAAATAGCCATGCTTGTCTTTGAGCCCACCCTGCGGAGAAGCTGCTGTTGAACCATCTGGGCTGAGGTTGCTGCATCCTGCTTCCATGGCTTCTCAGAATTGCAAAACAAAGTCGACCTCTTTGGGCTCACCGGCATGAGGAGCTGGCCAAATCTTGTCGCTTGGCTCGTCTGACACATGGCTGAAAACATTGGTTGAGAAAACGCTGCTACTGACACAGGAGACCTAAGGAGCCTCCTTGCGTGACTTCCCCCTAGTAGCTGCTGGTGTTGACCAATTGTCCAGGAAACTATAGAAGCCTCTCTGCGCAATGAGCGTGGCAAAAAAAAAGAAGAAGTTCACAAAACACTTTTCTCAGGAGTGTGTACCTCCTTGGCCAAGGAAGCTTATATGATGAATGTCAATGATCCTTGCTCAGGAGGGTGCACCTCCTTGGTCAGGACACTGATGGATAATGAAAACATGTCAATGATTGTTGCGTGCACCTCCTTGGTCCTGGTCAGGAGGTGTGATAATGAAAACTTGTGAATGAAATCCTTGCTCAGGAAGGTGTACCTCCTTGGCCAGGACAGGAAATCTGAATTCATTATGGAAACACTGGTAAATGATCTTTGCTCAGGAGGGTTTAGCCTTCGGCAAGGCATGTGACATATGAATTTACATGAGTCGATCATGGAAACAGTAACATCTAAACAAGACAAACATGTTTGAAGCAATACGTTTTCTCCAATATGTTAAATCAAGAGAGTTTTGGGCAACACATACATATCCCTGAATGACTTGTAACATATGTTAAAAACCAACTCTATAACCATGTCTTAAAACATAGAAGCACCACCAATCAGCGCAAAGAACCTTACTAAATCCACCCCAGTCTTGATGAACAGTATTGTTAGTATTCTCTATTCTCTGACGCGCTTTTGAGTCGGGGTTGGTGGACTTCTAGCATTTAGTGTATAAGGTTTGCACAGCTTGGGACTGAACCAGATGCACCATTTGCTTGCAAATCACAAGCTGTGAAGATTGCCTCGGGCTTCACGCGATGGAAGCGGTCAGAAAGGAGGCTCAGCAGGCTAATTTTTTGTCTTTTTGATGTTACAAGGACAACGCTTTGGAAGATCGAAGCTGATGGTGGGCGGCTGGGGCCACAGCTGGATGCAGTGGGTTTGGCCTGCAACCCTTTACTTGGCAGCTTGTGGGTGCTCTATGCGGATCGCTCCCTGTCCTACTTCTCTGAGCCGCTGGCGTCGCGCGATGCTTGTTGGACCCTTCCAGGAGCCATTAGTGATCTTCGTTCGGCTCAAGGGTTGCCAGGTCACGTTCTAACAAAGGCCACCCAGACTTGGCATTAAAGTTTGTTTTTTCCCAAAAGCATCTTCGATGCTTGGGTTCTCGTTTAGTTGTTTAACCGCGTGGGGGAGCGAGCTGGTTTGAACGGTGGTGTGCGGACGGCGTGGGTGCAAGGGAAAGGAAGGGAAAGGAAAGGAAAGGAAAGGAAGGGAAAGGAAGGGAAAGGAAGGGAAAGGAAGGGAAAGGAAGGAGAAAGGAAGGAGAAAGGAAGGAGAAAGGAAGGGACAGGAAGGGAAAGGAAGGGAAAGGAAGGGAAAGGAATGAGTGGGAAAAGAAGCCGCTGGAGATCAGCGAGTTTGGCTGTGCGGACGGCTGCGGACGGCGTGGGTGCAAGGGTGGCTGGAAATGGTTGGGAAGACGAAGCCGCCGGTGATGAGCGAGCTTGGCTGCGCGGATGGCTGCGGACGGGAAATGGGTTCGGAAAACTGCGCGAACAGCTGCGGACGGCGTGGGTGCCAGGGAGTGGCTGGAAATGGGTGGGGAGACGAAGCCGCTGGAGATCAGCGAGCTTGGCTGCGCGGACGGCTGCGGACGGCAATGGGTGGGGAGAATTGCGCGGACGGCTGCGGACGGCGTGGGTGCCAGGGAGTGGCTGGAAATGGGTGGGGAGAAGAAGCCGCTGGAGATCAGGGAGCTTGGCTGCGCGGACGGCTGCGGACGGGAAATGGTGACGGCTGCGGACGGCAAATGGGTGGGGAGAATTGCGCGGACGGCTGCGGACGGCGTGCGTGCAAGGGAGCAGCTGGAAATGGTTGGGGAGAAGAAGCCGCTGGGGATGAGCCAGCTTGGCTGCGCTGCGGACGGCAAATTGAAGGGGAGAATTGCGCGTACGGAGCCGCTGGAGATCAGCGAGTTTGGCTGCGCAGACGGCTGCGGACGGGAAATGGGTGCGGAGAATTGCGCGGACGGCTGCGGACGGCGTGGGTGCAAGGGAGTGGCTGGAAATGGCTGGCGAGAAGAAGCCGCTGGTGATGAGCGAGCTTGGCTGCGCGGACGGTTGCGGACGGGAAATGGGTGCGGAGAATTGCGCGGGCGGCTGCGGACGGCGTGCATGGGTGCCAGGGGGAGGAGAAGCCGCTGGTGATGAGCGAGCTTGGCTGCGCGGACGGCTGCGGACGGGAAATGGGTGCGGAGAATTGCGCTGACGGCTGCGGACGGCGTGGGTGCCAGGGAGTGGCTGGAAATGCGTGGGGAGGAGAAGCCGGTGATGAGCGAGCTTGGCTGCGCGGACGGCTGCGAACGGGAAATGGGTGCGGAGAACTGCGTGGACGGCTGAGAACGGCGTGGGTGCATCGGAGTGGCTGGAAATGGGTGGGGAGAAGAAGCCGCTGGTGATGAGCGAGCTTGGCTGCGCGGACGGCTGCGGACAGCAAATGGGTGGGGAGATTGCGCGGACGGCTGCGGACAGCGTGGGTGCCAGGGAGTGGCTGGAAATGGGTGGGGAGAAGAAGCCGATGGAGATCGGAGAATTGCGCGGACGGCTGCGGACGGTGTGGGTGCCAGGGAGTGGCTGGAAATGGGTTGGGAGAAGAAGCCGCTGGAGATCAGCGAGCTTGGACAGGAAATGGGTGCGGAGAATTGCGCGGACGGCTGGTGCGGAGAACTGAGCGGACGGCTGCGGACGGCGTAGGTGCAACGGATTGGCTGGAAATGGGTTGGGGAGAAGAAGCCGCTGGTGATGAGCTTGGCTGCACGGACGGCTGTGGACGGCCAATGGGTGGGGAGAATTGCGCGGACGGCTGCGGACAGCGTGGGTGCCAGGGAGTGGCTGGAAATGGGTGGGGAGATGAAGCGCCGCTGGAGATCAGCGAGCTTGGCTGCGCGGACAGGTGCGGACGGGAAATGGGTGCGGAGAATTGCGCGGACAGCTGCGGACGGCCTGGGTGCAAGGGAGTGGCTGGAAATGGGTGGGGAGAAGAAGCCGCTGGAGATCAGCGAGCTTGGCTGCGCGGACGGGTGCGGACGGGAAATGGGTGCGGAGAATTGCGCGGACAGCTGCGGACGGCCTGGGTGCAAGGGAGTGGCTGGAAATGGGTGGGGAGAAGAAGCCGCTGGAGATCAGCGAGTTTGGCTGCGCAGACGGCTGCGGACGGGAAATGGGTGCGGAGAATTGCGCGGACGGCTGCGGACGGCGTGGGTGCAAGGGAGTGGCTGGAAATGGCTGGCGAGAAGAAGCCGCTGGTGATGAGCGAGCTTGGCTGCGCGGACGGTTGCGGACGGGATATGGGTGCGAAGAATTGCGCGGACGGCCGCGGACGGTGTGAGTTGCTGGAAATGGGTGTGGATCGCGCTGTTGATGAGCGAGCTTGGCTGCGCGGACGGCTGCGGACGGGAAATGGGTGCGGAGAATTGCGCGGACGGCTGCGCACGGCGTGGGTGCAAGGGAGTGGCTGGAAATGGGTGGGGAGCAGAAACCGCTGGTGATGAGCTAGCTTGGCTGCGCGGACGGCTGCGGACGGCAAATGGGTGGGGAGAATTGCGCGGACGGCTGCGGACGGCGAGGGTGCGAGGGAGTGGCTGCTAAGACCACAAAATGAAGATATTTTCACTTTAGGCACTTAATGAAGATATTAGTAGTTATATGAACTTATCATAGAAGTGTTTTTTCTTTATTTTTACTTATTTTCACTTATTTTTCAATGTTTTTTTGATGATCAGAATTGATTATAGACGATGCATTTTTCTGTTATATATTTTTTGAAAATAGTTGTCGACCTTTTTGTTTCCTTTGGAATATTTTTTTCTTGCCTTTTTTCATTGTTTTTTTTCATTCTTTTCAGGCATCATCCTTTTAGAAATCACCCTTTTCAGGATTTATCCTTTTCAGGAATTATCCTTTTCAGGACTTATCCTTTCAGGATTTTTTTTATTCAGAATGAATCCTTTTCAGGAACTATCCTTAACAGGAATCTTTCTATTCAGATTGATTTCATTTTCAGGAACAATGCTTTTCAGGAGTTATCTTCTACAGGAAATGGTTCTTCTACAGGAATATGCGCGGCTGCGAGTGACACAAAGAATCTTGAAGTACATCTGTGGAGAAATCATTCAGAGGCAAAAGGAAAAAAACATATAAAGGATGCTTCTTGGAAAGAACAATTGCTCTTTTGATGTGTCTTCTTCAATTGTATACGACTGCCCAGAATGAGATCTTTCACAACATGAGGCTTCGGTTACTACTTCCAAACTACATAATTCAGGGATGAAGATGGATACCTAATTTGGAAAATATTCTATTATATTTTTTTGTTGGTAAAAGATTTAAAGCTAGCTGGCTTGCTTTTTGTTTTGAAAATGTATTTTCTATAATTGCTATTTATGTTTTATTGTTCATATCGTTCTACAATTTACTTTCTTTTGATTTCGCATACTTTGTTCATACGTTTTTTTTTGCTGAGATTTTGGTGGTTGATTAATCGCAGGGAATTATTAATCCTAACTTGACATTATTATAAATACTTACTTATCCTTTTTTTCTCTATAAATATTTCCTGAATTTTCTGAAATTTTTGAATTTTCTGAAATTTCTGGATTTTTCTGAATTTTCTGAATTTTCTGAATTTCCTGAATTTTCTGAATTTTCTGAAATTTCTGAAATTTCTGAATTTTCTGAATTTTCTGAATTTTCTGAATTTTCTGAATTTTTCTGAAATTTTCTGAATTTTCTGAATTTTCTGAATTTTCTGAATTTCTTGAATTTTCTGAATTTTCTGAATTTTCTGAATTTTCTGGGTTTCTGAATTTTCTGAATTTTCTGAATTGTTTTCCTTTTAATTTAAATTGTAAATTCTGAATTTTCTGAATTTTCTGGGTTTCTGAATTTTCTGAATTTTCTGACTTTTCTGACTTTTCTGAATTTTCTGGGTTTCTGAATTTTGTGAATTTTCTGAGTTTTCTGAATTTTCTGAAATTTTTGAATTTTCTGAATTTTCTGAATTTTCTGAAATTTCTGAATTTTCTGAATTTTCTGAATTTTCTGAATTTTCGGAAATGTCTGAAATTTCTGAGTTTTCTGAATTTTCTGAACTTTCTGATTTTTTCTGAATTTTCTGAATTTTCTAAATTTTCCTTTCCAGGAAGTATCCTGCAGAGAACTATTCCCTACAATTTTTTTCCTTTCCAGGAAGTATCCTGCAGAGAACTATTCCCTACAAAATTTTTCCTTTCCAGGAAGTATCCTGCAGAGAACTATTCCCTACAAAAGTTTTCTTTTCCAGGAAGTATCCTGCAGAGAACTATTCCCTACAATTTTTTTCATTTCCAGGAAGTATCCTGCAGAGAACTATTCCCTACAAATGTTTTCCTTTCCAGGAAGTATCCTGCAGAGAACTATTCCCTACAATTTTTTTCCTTTCCAGGAAGTATCCTGCAGAGAACTATTCCCTACAAATGTTTGCCTTTCCAGGAAGTATCCTGCAGAGAACTATTCCCTACAATTTTTTTCCTTTCCAGGAAGTATCCTGCAGAGAACTATTCCCTACACAATTTTTCCTTTCCAGGAAGTATCCTGCAGAGAACTATTCCCTACAATTTTTTTCCTTTCCAGGAAGTATCCTGCAGAGAACTATTCCCTACAATTTTTTTCCTTTCCAGGAAGTATCCTGCAGAGAACTATTCCCTACAAAAGTTTTCCTTTCCAGGAAGTATCCTGCAGAGAACTATTCCCTACAATTTTTTTCCTTTCCAGGAAGTATCCTGCAGAGAACTATTCCCCACACAATTTTTCCTTTTCAGGAAGTATCCTGCAGAGAAATTGTCCCTACATTTTTTTTCCTACCATTTTTTTTTCCAAATAGGCGCCTTCAGAGAATTGTTCTTTAGCAGCATATTCCTGTTCAGGAAGGTTTCGTCAGAAAAGTAGTGCTCTGAGACAATATTGTTTCGTCGAAAATCAACATTCCTGCGAATCTATCAAACACACATAAAAATCAAATTTCACTTCTTATCACTTCTTTTCGCTTATTTTGGCTTATTTTTGACTAATATTCTACTATATTTGCTTATATTTTCCTTATTATGTTATAAGTTCACCTAAAAATTTAGTGGAACTTATAACAAAATATTTTTGAAAAAACAATTTGAACAAGATATTAGAAGGATAATAGTAACTTATAGTATACTTATAAATTCATTAAGTGCCTAAAGTGCAAATATTTGCATTTTGTGGTCTTAGTGGAAATGGGTGGGGAGAAGAAGGCGCTGGGGATGAGCGAGCGTGGCTGCGCGGACGGCTGCGGACGGCGTGGGTGCAAGGGAGCGGCTGGAAATGGTTCGGGCGAAGAATTCAGAAGCTGGCTGCGCGGACGTCTGCGGACGGCAAATGGGTGGGGAGAATTGCGCGGACGGCTGCGGACGGCGTGGGTGCAAGGGAGTGGCTGGAAATGGGTGGGGAGAAGAAGCCGCTGGGGATGAGCGAGCTTGGCTGTGCGGACGGCTGCGGACGGGAAATGGGTGCGGAGAATTGCGCTCACGGCTGCGGACGGCGTGGGTGCAAGGGAGTGGCTGGAAATGGGTGTGGAGAAGAACAAGATGCAGCCCACGAACCCGAATGCCCACACGTATTTTAAAGGATATGCAGTCACTCAGGACAATTTTCTGCAAAAGTTTATTTGAACAGTCTTGTATATACATATTTCCCCTGTTACCAGTCTGCAGTGTGGAGTGGACAGTGTAGAGTGTGGAGTGTAGAGTGTAAAGTGTAGAGTGCGGAGTGTGGAGTGTAACGTGTGGAGTGTGGAGTGTAAAGTGTAGAGTGTGGAGTGTAAAGTGGGAAGTGTGGACTGTAAAGTGTGGAGTGAGGAGTGTGGAGTGTAAAGTGTGGAGTGTGCAGTGGGTAAAGTGTGGAGTGTGGAGTGTAGAGTGCTGAGTGTAAAGTGTAGACTGTGGAGTGTGGAGCGTAAAAGTGTGGAGTGTAAAGTGTGGAGTGTAAAGTGTGGAGTGTAAAGCGTGGAGAGGAAAGCGCGGAGTGTAAAGTGTGGAGTGTAGAGTGTACAGTGTAGAGTGTAAAGTGTAGAGTGTGGAGTGTGGAGTGTAAAGTGTGGAGTGTGGAGTGTAAAGTGTGGAGTGAGGAGTGTAAAGTGCAAACTGTAAAGTGTGGAGTGTAAAGTATCAAGTGTGGAGTGAGGAGTGTGGAGTGTAAAGTGTAGATTGTAGAGTGTGGAGTGGAAACTGTAGAGTGTGGAGTGTGGAGTGTAAAGTGAGGAGTGTGGCGTGTAAAGTGTGGAGTGTAAAGTGTGGAGTGTGGAGTGTAAAGTGGGAATTGTGGAGTGTGGAGTGTAAAGCGTGGAGTGAGGAGTATAAAATGTAAAGTGTGGAGTTAAAATGTAAAGTGTACAGTATGAGTGAGTGTAAAGTGTAGAGTGTGGAGTGTGGAGTGGAAAGTGCAGAGTGTGAAGTGTGGAGTGTAAAGTGTAGAGTGTGGAGTGTGGAGTGTAAAGTGTGGAGTGAGGAGTGTAAAATGTAAAGTGTGGAGTGAGGAGTCAAAAATGTAAAGTGTGGAGTGTAGAGTGTAAAGTGTACAGCGTAAAGTGTAGAGTGCGGAGTGTGGAGAGTAAAGTGTGGAGTGTAAAGTGTGGAGTGAGGAGTGCAAAGTGCAAAGTGTAGAGTGTGGAGTGAGGAGCGTAAACTGTAATTTGTGGAGTGAGGAGTGTGGAGTGTAGAGTGTGGAGTGTGGAGTGTGGAGTGGAAAGTGTAGTTTGTGGAGTGTGGAGTGTAAAGTGTGGAGTGTGGTGGAGTGTGGGGTGTAGAGTGTGGAGTGTGGTGGAGTTTGGGGTGTAGAGTGTGGAGCGTGTAGGAGTGTAAAGTGTGGAGTGCAAAGTTTAACGTGTGGAGTCCAGAGTGTAAATTGTGGAGTGTAGAGTGTAAAGTGTAGAGTGTGAAGGGGGAGTGGAAAGTGCAAAGTGTAAAGTGTAGAGTGTGGAGTGAGGAGTGTAAAGTGTAAATTGTGGAGTGAGGGGTGTGGTGTGTAAAGTGTGGAGTGTAGAGTGTGGAGTGGAAAGTGTCGAGTGTGGAGTGTGGCGTGTAGAGTGTAAAGTGTAAAGTGAGGAGTGTGCAAAGTGTAGAGTGTGCAGTGTGGAGTGTAGAGTGCGGAGTGTAGAGTGTAAAGCGCCACCCGTGCCACGCAAAACGACATGACAACTTGCTTGGAAACCTTCGAAAAGGAGAGATTTTGCAGCTTCCCCCATACACACGGCGACGCCACAGGAAAACCGGAGACTTGAGACGAGAGATGTGGGAGCATCAAAACGAGCCTTTCGTGCGAGACTTCCTCCAATTTTCACACTTTGTAGCTTCAAAATTGATGTTTTCCTACGAGTTTTCGTACGAGCCTTTAAATTTGCTACTTCAAAATCGATGTTTCGTGGGAGGCTTCCGTCAATTTTCAGCACATCTCACAAAATGCCACGTCTGCACCTTGCACTTGACGCAGCCCTGCCAATGCGATTCGTAAAAAACACGCAACACGACGCGTCTAAAGCGCTGCGCCTGCCACGCAAAATGACGATGGACACGTCCAAAGTGCTGCGCCTGCCACGAAAACTGCAACGCATCTTCTGAAAACGTCGCAAAAGTATTGCGCCTGCCACACAAAATGACTTTCGACACGTTACAAAACACGTCTGAATGTCACAAAGTGCCACGCCTGCCACGCGAAACGCAAAAATTACCCCTTCTGGCCCTTCTGGAGAACTTACCAGAGGCACGGCCATATAGCAATCGCGCGGACGGTTGCGAGTGGTTGCGGACGGTTGGGCAACGGGAACCCTTGCTACGCATTCGGGGAAAGAAAGGGAAAGGAAGGGAACGGAAGGGACAGGAAGGGAAAGGAAGGGAAAGGAATGGAAAGGACGGGAAAGGAAAGGAAAGAAAGGGAAAGGAAGGGAAAGGAAGGGAAAGAAAGGGAAAGAAAGGGAAAGGGAGGGAAAGGACGGAAAAGGAAGGGAAAGGAAGGGAAAGGACGGGAAAGGAAGGGAAGGAAGGGAAAGGAAAGGAGAGGTTGATTTGGAAATCAGTCGCTGTCGCATGACCGTGCTCAAAAGCTTGCTTGGCTATTGCACACTGTCACTCAATGTTTCCGCGCAGAGCTGAAATTACTTTACTTCGAGTTATCCCCACCATGACATTTATACATTTTGTTACTGGCAAATCTTCTGGCATTCTATCTGACATATCTTCTGGCATTTTATCTAGCATATCTTCTGGCATTCTATCTGGCATATATTCTGGCATATCTTCTGGCATTCTACCTGGCATATCTTCTGCAATATGTTCTGGCATATCTTCTGGCATTCTATCTGACATATCTTCTAACAGTCTATCTGGCATATCTTCTGGTATTCTATCTGGCCGTTGAGATCCAGCAGTGCACACTGAGCTGGGAAGGTCCCAGGTTGAGGTCCAGCGGTGCACACTGAGCTGGGAAGGTCCCAGGTTGAGGTCCAGCGGTGCACACTGAGCTGGGAAGGCCGCAGGTTGAGGTCCAGCGATGCACACTGAGCTGTTTGGTCCCAGGTTGAGGTCCAGCGGTGCACACTGAGCTGGGAAGTTGGCAAAGAGCTTGGCGAAGAGTTGGCAAGGCGGAAGTTGAGGTGGAAGTTGATGCAGGCATGATCGAGGAGAAACTGGAGGAGGAGGAGGCAGAGGAGGAGGAGAAGGCGGAGGACGAGGAGGAGGAGGACGAGGACGAGGAGGACAGCTAGCCGAGGAGAACAACTCTGATAAAATCTAACAACCCTCACCTGGCAGGTGGGGAAAAATGAAATTTGCAGTGAATTCGTCCATAATGTTCATCTTCCAAAAAGAAGCTGGCAAGAGGCGAAAAAGAAATAAACCAATTGTCAGTATTGCTCAAATTTGTTTACTGTCGTTTTGCTTTTGGGTTCTCAGGCCCCCCCTTGTTTGTGATTTTTTCTAGGGTTTTTTTGACTATCGTTGATCAGTATGTTAAAAGCTTCTCAGCCAAAGACTTGGCGGAGGTGGTGACCTATTCTCCAACCAGCATCCAGTTATGGAGCAGTCAACTCCAAGGGGACCTGCGCCTGGAGGCACAAAGTGAACCCGCACATGATTCCCGGCAGAAACTGGAACGAGTTTTTGTGTCTCAAAGAGCCAGAAGTTTCGAGGTTGCCCTGGCTGTGCATATCTGCAGCTTGTATTTGTTCTAGTTCTGTGGGCAATTTCCCAGCAGATGCTATCAGCATTTCGACTGGCGTTGTGCTATGTTGTGCCGTCCCATTGCGCCTGTACGAAAGAATGGGCGCAAACCCAAGATATCCTTAATATATCCACCAATTGATAATCCAGTGCAAATAAACCAAATGAGGAATAACCAAGATCATTCAGAACAGTTAGAACATATGTTAGAAACATATGGAAACCCATCATGGAAGCCCATCATGGCGGGATCTGACACCGGTGCCCAGGAGCTCTCAACCGTTGCCGTATCCCCTTGGTTGGTGGCTTGTGGCCTCAGCAACGGCGAGGTGCGGCTCTTTGCCGCCTTGCATGGGCTGGCCGAGCTGGGACCACTGCCAATGCGACATGGTGCAGAAGTCTTGTCCCTGAGTTTTGGGCAACTCGGAAAAGTGGGGAGGAGTGATAAACAGTGATAATTGATGAAAAGTGATAAACAGTAATGAAAAGTGATGAATTGTGATGAATTGTGTTGTCTATATACTGTATGCGACTGTATAAGTTCATCTAAGTTCAATGCTGTTCCTTTCAGCTTTGTCACTGGCACTCCGGACCTCCAGAACATTTAATTGACTTTGAGAATCTATGGACATTTCGATGTTCAAGTTTCATCTGTTTCCAAGTGTGCTTGTTCATGTAGCATTGAGGCACTGGAAACCTGCAAGCTTGCGACCCATCATCCTGGCGTCAGTGTCCTCAGACCGGAGCATCTTGGTCTTCAGCATCGAAGTTCAGGGCGAATCTGGTCTCAACAGCAGCCAGGCCTGGTGAAGTGGGCTGGGAGACGGGCTGAGATTGGAGGACTTGGAGCTGAGCTGTGAAGAATGTTCATCCGAAGGGCTAATTAAGGCATAGATTCGTAATGATTCGTAGAATTCATGCACAGGAGTCACACCGTCGCATGCGTCGGCCAGGCCAGCTTATTGCTTCATTTGCAGCACCATTCGGGGCCAGTGCACCACGTGTCTCTGCTGGCATCTCCCAGTGCCCCTGGCAGCGAAGTCTTCCGCATGGTGGTCTGCACAGCTGACCAACTGATTTGGCGTGAGCTGGAGTGGCTTGACGGTATTTGGCGGTCTTCCAGGGTGGCTCTTGGGGCGGGCAGTTTTGGCTCACGATTTATTAAATTAGAGAAACTTAGCAAGTCTTGATTTTTCTATTTACACCGCATTCAACAAAGATGGCTCCGCCCACTTCCAAAGTGCGCGTATAGATGGCGCCGACTTTTCGAATTTTGACACCCGAAAAGGGCGTGACATCCATCCCCCTTACTTTTGTGGGCCGCGCCATCTATGCCAGAATGTGTTGCCAATGTGTTTCAGGGTTGCGCCATCTATGCAGGGATTCTTACTTTCCCTGTTCCCTTTCTCATTCCCTTCCTTCTTTCCCCTTACTTTTCTCCTTTTTCCGTTCTCCTTTCCCTTCTCCTTTCCCCTTCCCTTTGCAAATGGAGCGCAGTGGTAACCTGTAGATGGCGCAGTCCACAGTTATGGTTTCCCAAAGAAAAATCCTGTTCCCTTTCGATTTCTCCTTTCTCCTTTCCCTTTTGTTTTCTCCTTTCTCCTTTCTTCTTTCTCCTTTCTCTCCTCCTTGCCCTTTCCCTTTACAAATGGAACGCAGCGGTAACCTATAGATGGCGCAATCCACAGTCATGGTTTCACAAAGAAAAATCCTGTTCCCTGTCCCTTTCGCTTTCTCCTTTCTCCTTTCCCTCCTCCTTTCACTGTCCCTTTCCCTTTCTCCTTTTCCCTTCTCCTTTCCCTTGTCCCTTCCCCTTTCTCCTTTCCCCATTCCCCCTTTCTCCTTTCCCCGTTCCCTTTCTCATTCTCTTCCTTCTTTCCCTTTCTCCTTTCCCCTTACTTTTCTCCTTTTTCCCTCCTCCTTTCCCCCCTCCTTGCCCTTTCCCTTTACAAATGGACCGCAGTGGTAACCTATAGATGGCGCAATCCACAGCTATAGTTTCCCAAAGAAAAATCCTGTTCCCGGTCCCTTTCGCTTTCTCCTTTCTCCTTTCCCTCCTCCTTTCACTGTCCCTTTCCCTTTCTCCTTTTCCCTTCTCCTTTCCCTTTCCCCTTCTCCTTTCCCTTTCCCTTCCCCTTTCTCCTTTCCCCATTTCCCCTTTCTGCTTTCTCCTTTCGCTTTCTCATTCCCTTCCCCCTTCCCCTTCTCCTTTCCCTTTCCCCTTTCCCCTTTCCTTTTCTCCTTTTCTCCTTTTCTCCTTTTCTCCTTTTCTCCTTTCTCCTTTCTCCTGCAATTGGATGGCACTGTCCCAGGTGGTTGCGCCATCTATTCAGTAGTTTAGTAGTGAAAAAAAATCTTTCCCCGAAAAACTTTTGAACACACACCCCCCTTACTGTTTCAACGTTTTGATGACCGAAATGTCTAGTCCCGGAAGAAGTGATTTAAATTAAAAATGGGGTAGATGGCGCAATTTGGCCCATTTTGCACATGTAGGGTTGCGCCATATTCGGGCACATTTGCTGGTTCGGGTACACCGCATTCAGAGTAGATGGCCCCGCCCTCTTCCAAAGTGCGCGTGTAGATGGCGCCGACTTTTTGAATTTTGACACCCGAAAAGGGCGTGACATCCATCCCCCTTGCTTTTGTGGGCCGCGCCATCTATGCCAGAATGTGTTGCCAATGTGTTTCAGGGTTGCGCCATCTATGCAGGGGGGAAAGGGAAAGGAGAAAGGGAAAGGAAAAGGAGAAAAGGACAGGGGAAATGGAAAGGAAAAGGGGAAAGGGGGCAGGGACGGGGAAAGGGAAAGGAGAAGGGACAGGAGAAAGGGAAAGGGACAGGGAACTGAATTTTTCTTTGGGAAACCATAACTGTGGATTGCGCCATCTATAGGTTACCACTGCGTTCCATTTGTAAAGGGAAAGGGAAAGGAGGAGGGAAGGAGAAAAATACAGGGGAAAGGGAAAGGAGAAAGGAAGAGGGGGAAGGGAATGAGAAAGGGAACGGGGAAAGGAGAAAGGGGAAATGGGAAAAGGAGAAAGGGAAAGGGGAAAGGGAAAGCATAAGGGAAAAGGAGAAAGGGGAAGGGACAGTGCGGGGAGGAGGGAAAGGAGAAAGGAGAAAGGGAAAGGGACAGGCAAGAGAAAGGGAAAGGGACAGGCAACAGGATTTTTTTTGGGGAAACCATAACTGTGGATTGCGCCATCTATAGGTTACCACTGCGGTCCATTTCTAAAGGGAAAGGAAAAGGAGGAGGAAAAGGAGAAAGGAGAAAAAGAAAGGGAAAGGAGAAAGGAAAAAAGGAGAGAACCAAGAAGGGGGAAAGGAAAGGAGAAGGATGTTTCAGGGCTGCGCCATTTAAGCAGGGATTCTTAATTCCAGTCGGTTGCGCTCGGTTTTTTCTCTTCCCTTTCTCATTCCCTTCCCCCTTTCCCCTTCACCTTTCCCTTTCTCCTTTCGTTTTCTCCTGTCCCCTTCCCTTTCTCCTGTCCCTTTCTCCGTTCCCTTTCTTATTCTTTGTTCTCCTTTTGTCCTTTCTCCTTTCTCCTGACCCTTTCTCCTTCCCCTTTCTTTTTCTCCTTTCTCCTTTCCCTCCTCCTTTCCCTTTCCCTTTCTCCTTTCCCTTTCATTTTCTCCTTTCTCCTTTCTCCTTTCTCCTTTCCCTCCTCCTTGCCATTCCCTTTACAAATGGACCGCAGTGGTAACCTATAGATGGCGCAATCCACAGCTGTAGTTTCCCAAAGAAAAATCCAGTTGCCTGTCCCTTTCTCTTTCTCCTTTCTCCTTTCCCTCCTCCTTTCACTGTCCCTTTCCCTTTCTCCTTTCCCCCTTCTCCCTTCCCTTTCCCCATTCCCCCTTTCTCCCTTCCCCATTTCCCCTTCCCATTTCCCCTTTCTCCTTTCCCTTTCCCCTTCTTTGTTCTCCTTTTTTCCTTTCTCCTTTCTCCTTTCCCTTTCTTTTTCTCCTTTTTCCGTTCTCCTTTCCCTTCTCCTTTCCCCTTCCCTTTACAAATGGAACGCCGTGGTAACCTATAGATGGCGCAATCCACAGTTATGGTGTCCCAAAGAAAAATCCTGTTCCCTTTCCCTTTCGCTTTCTTCTTTCCCTTTGTCCTTTCCCTTTCATTTTCTCCTTTCTCCTTTCCCTTTCTCCTTTCCCCATTTCCCCTTTCTGCTTTGTCCTTTCGCTTTCTCATTCCCTTTCCCCTTCTCCTTTCCCTTTCCCCTTTCCCCTTTCCTTTTCTCCTTTTCTCCTTTTCTCCTTTCTCCTTTCTCCTGCAATTGGATGGCACTGTCCCAGGTGGTTGCGCCATCTATTCAATAGTTTAGTAGTGAAAAAATCCTTTCCCCGAAAAACTTTTGTTGAACACACATCCCCCTTACTTTTTCAACGCTTTGATGACCGAAATGTCCGGTCCCGGAAGAAGGAATTTAAATTAAAAATGGGGTAGATGGCGCAATTTGTCCCATTTTGCACTTGTAGGGTTGCGCCATCTTCTGGCACATTTGCTGTTTCGGGTAAATTTGGGATTGATTTTTTCACTGTTAAATAGATGGCGCAACCACCTCTGAAAAAGTAGGTCAGAGCCATGTACCTTGAACCTGGAGTATATATATATATATATATATTTATCATTTACAGTCAATCCATCACAACTTTTTCCCAGGTACAAGGACGGCTTCACCACAGTGCACAAATGTGCACGCCAGCAAGCCTGCCGTGGTTCCAGATGGGTCGGTTCTTGTGCAGATACACAGCGGGGCATTTTCTTCGCAGCGTGTAGCAATCGACGGCTTCTCCAATTGGATCCAGCTGGCCGCAGAGTTCAGGAGATGCGTGTGGCTGGAGGGAATTCAGCACCTTGGCAGCAGACCAGTGCATTTCTTTCCTCCATTTTGTTTTTTCCACAATACAAACAGTGTGATCAAATGGTTTTAGGCCTTTGCAACCTCAATAGACATTTTCCAGGCCATGAGGATCCATGGACAATTATGCATATGACTTCTGCTTGAACATGCTTGAACCATAGGCTGAGTTTCTGATGGGCCGATCGTGTATGGCTCAAATGTAAGGGTCCTTACTAGGGTATGCCCCCGGTATCCCCCGGTGCTTTGCCACAAGTGTCGTGGCCAGCCCGCTCAAGAAGGCGATACCTGGTGTTACGGCTGCTCAGGATGGGAGGCCATTCGCCGTGAACTGAGCGGCAGCTGTGACATTGCAGGTACCCGTGCTGTGGCCAATGACCTTGTGGCCAACACCGCAAGGCAAGTCCGTTAGGTGCTGGACTCGCTAAAGCGGGAACAGGTGCTGGCCATTGCACCCTGTGAACATTTTTTTAATTGGCAGAGCTGACAGGAGGTCGAGCTTGCCACGCCGTCGATCCGGGCACCGTGTGGCAGCCAAGGACGAGGAGGCCAGTCCTGGAGCAGACGAACAAGAGGAGAGCGAGGAAGACGAGGAGCCCCCAAGCAAGAGGAGGCGTCGCTCAGCGACACCTGGCCCTCCAGCACGCTCAAGGGGAGGAGACCACAGGCCCCTGAGCCGGATCACCCACCCTCTTACCCGGGACAAAGACTCTGCCTCAGTCCTTCAGTCGCGCTGGACAGGGTAGACCAGCTGACAAGAGGAGGCATTCAAGTCATCATCCAGACCGAGATCGTCACGGAAAGAAGAGAACCAACCGCAGAGGAGGAAGGAACATCAGAGGCTGAGCAGATTAGCTGCAGATCCATTGAGAAGGCTACACCGGAAGCTGAGTGCTGGCTTTTTGGCTTTGAGCACCTCGCAACCGGGGGCGCTCAACTTTGAGAGTTTGGGATGTTGAGATGGATCCCAAAGAAATTGGGAAATTAGTGACAATTGACGACAAGAAAGAATGGAGTGGTATATATCCCCAGGCAGGCTTTATCATCGAGGCGGACTTGGCCCAGTCTGACATGTCTTGGGCTTCCGAGACATGGGCAGCCTTCTACATTTACAGCGTCGGGTCCGAGCTGGATGGCGGCTTTACCTTAGAGGTGAAGGTTTTGGGGGTCGAAGATGCAGATGCTGGCCAAGCGTTGGAAACCCACTGTGGTGGGACCGTGCGCTTCATTCACCTTTAAGTGTCAAAGCCGTGCATCGCTTTCTCCGAGGAAGAAGCCCCTTCAACCCTGCATGTCACTGTTGTCCGAATGTGGACGCAAGGCAGTTTCAAGGCGGACTATGTCACCAAGCAGACTCTTGCTTTGATGAAGGGTTGGAACAAGGAGCTCAATGTTGTCCTGGAGCCCAAGCCACGAGGACGGGGTCCAAAGGCAGCTACTGGGTAGTAGACCTTACTCGTCTCATTTTACGAGAAGTCGTCTCGCAACCGTCGTGCCTATGGGAAGTGCTGATAGACACCTCATCCCAGATTAGTCATACGTTTTGGAGCATGTTGAGTTTTTGATGCAAATCGCAGTGGCACGATGCTTTGGACTGGGACTGAGATTCATTTGGGGAATCCTTATTTCTGGCATTCATGGTGGGGTGACTCCTGGATTTCGTGGGGTGACTTTATTTTTCGCGTTGCGCCTTGCAGTGGGGTGACTTCATGTCAAAAAAGGGGTGCGAAAGGTCCAGCACTCGTACAGCAGACGATGGGGCAAAGCCAGGCGGCAGATGGTCTCGTGTGCCTGGAGGCGCAGCGGCCAAAGCAACCCCGAAAGAAAAGACTGGCAAGGAGAAGAAGGCTCCCAAAAGAAGGAAAGCAGAAGAGGAGGAGGAACCAGAGGAGGAGACTACGCCTGGCAAGCGAGCTGCTCTTCAAGCAAAGCTTGCGAAAGTCAGAGAGCGCTTGCTGGGCGGCGGTGGATATACTGGAAGTGCCAACAGGCTCGGAAAAGGTTGGAGAGAGTGGCGAGGAGGAAGACAGTTTAAGCTACGCGCCTACCGACCCCCTCGACACGGGTACCAAGATCAAGGACAAGACCCGCGGGAAGGATTCCATGCAGGGGCCGCGCCAAAAAGACATAGGCCTTAGTCCCATTACACCCTGAGTCTCGGAAATTAGTAAAAATTACATTTTTAGTGATTTACTAAATTCGACCAATTTATTGTATTTTTTTGTCCCAGAAAATTTACCTAAAAGTGCACCTAAAAATGGACCTAAATTTCATGTACTTTTTGTTTCCTAAATCTGCGTTTTTTTTTGGTATATTTTGTTGTGAATAAGAGCTAGATTTATTTTTTTAGTTGTTTTCTTTTAAATACTTTTGTTGATTGTGTTTCTTCTGTGTGATTTTTTGTTTGGAGAAGATGAGTTATCATAAACATTTTTTGTGGTTAGGGAGAGAAAAGTATTGTTTTGGTTGTAGGAAAAAGATACGTGTATGGTAGAAGCAACACAGAATAGTGACACAAGTAACAGTAGTGCTGTTGCAAAAGCAGTGGCTTGCAAGTGTCTATGTTTCAGAGCAGCTACATTTCCGACTGCATAATGTTTGTTGCCTGAAAGGCGTGACTGTCAAACCTTACAGTGCTCAGAGTTTGAAAAAGAGAAAAGGAGTATTGGGCATTGTTGTTTCTTATATGTTTTACTTTTGTTGGGTGACTTTACTTGTGAGATTGAGTTACTTCAGTTCATGTTACTTGCGATTAGTCAATTTACTTGAGTGTTTGCATTCCTTGGTGTGATGATTGTTATCTTGAAGTAATGCATTGCTTGATATCATTTTACTTGTGCTCAAGATATTCAATGTACAATATTGCAATTGAAACTTTGTTACAACAACATTTTAAAAAGCTCAAAACAAACAAAACCAGAGATAAATAATTACAAAGATAAAAAATAAAAAATTATAGAAAATATAAAAATGTATAAGTAGTTCATATGTAGTGTATATGTAGTTTATATGCCCTTTTCAAAAGTGCATATAAACTACATGTAGTTTTCTTAAAAAATACATGTAGTTTATATGCACTTTTAGAAAGTGCATATAAACTACATAAAAACTGCATACAAACTACATATAAACTACATTCAAACTACATATAAACTACATAGAAACCACATAAAAAATACATATAAACTACATATAAACTACGTATAAATTGCACATAAATTATATAAACTACATATAATATATTTCAAAACTATATAGAAGGTACATGATAATTACTTCCAAATTAATACCATTCAAAGCAAAGACATACACAAACAATATATAAAATGTACATAGTTTCCATGTTAGTTCTTAAACTGCTTTCAAAACCAAAATCAAACTTAAATCAAAAAATATATACAATCAATCCAGAAAAGAACAACATCATACAGATTCTCTGCAATCTATGTTATTGCCAATGGTTTGGTTTCAGACTAATTAAATCATCAACAGTGTATCCTGTCTCCTACTTGATTTCATGATATTTTCACCAGATAAACCATTTCCAATCTTTCTTGAGTCAGTAAAATCATAATACATCACAAGTAACTCTGCAAGGATAGTCACAAGTACCACCTCCAAAAACACACACAAGTAAGCTATTTTTCAATCATATTTCGTGATTTGCGAGACTAAAATCGACACAGATCACAGCACATCCCATCAAATTTCATCATCAAACCAACCTCGTAATGTTTAAGATATAAATAACATCTTTTTTGAACAAAAATAAACAACAAATACATCCCAAAAATTAGGTTGCAACCTAAATTTACACCTAAATTTGCACCTAAATTTAGGTGCAAATTTAGGTGAAAAAATGAGGTGAAAATTTACCTAACATTTTCCACCTAAAACGAAAAATTTACCTAATTTTTTGAAATGTAATTTTTACTAATTTCCGAGACTCAGGGCAAGGATAGAAGAGAAGACGATATGAAGAACTTGAGTGGGCAACTGACGAAGCAAGCGCTGGCAGTTTGCCGGGCACGTGGAGAAGAGCGTCGAAAGAAAAAGAAGAAGAAGTCAGGGAGAAACGGAGCATTGGAGTTGCTGAAGGATTTGATCCATACTGGATCCGACAAGAGGGAGAAGAAGGACAAGAAAAAGAAGAAGAAAAAGAGGAGGATGGTGGATGGAGTGATTCACAGCTCCAGTGTCTCCTCGTCGGAGCATTCAGGGGACATGGAAGAGGAGGAGGACACATCCTCGGAGACGGGCCTGGAAGCTTGGAAGCTCCAGTGACGAAGAAGTCTCGAGACCGTCCAGGAAGCACCTTAGCGATGTTGACCAAGCACGTGAAGCAGATCATGGACCAGGACGCTCTGGCCGACCTCCCAAAAGGATCAGCGAGGATCGTCACGTACTTCCACCAGCACATCAATTTGTACGCGACCGATCAAAAGGAGCTTCGAGAGATGTTTACCCTTGCCTCAGCCTTGGACTTACTGAGGCGGGGCGACGTGGCAAGGGTCGGAGACGCCCTCTTGGCCCGGTTCATTGCATTTCGTCACTCCTTGCTAGACCAGGGATGGAACAAATGAGGAAGAGTACTCCCCTGGGCGATCCTTTGCCCTTAGCGTTCCAAGTTTGGACCGCAAAGATGAAGAATGTGGAAAGAAAAATAAGATGAGGACATGTGTTTCTGAGAGTTTTCATTTCCGATAGTGTGCACAACTGAGAGTTTGCATTTCCGAGAGATTTTATTTCTGATTGTTTTTTTCTGAACATTCTCAACCATCTGGCTCGCAGGAAGTGGCGCCGATCCAACTCGCCGAGCCCAAAGGACGCTCTTCTGGCGAACCTGAAGCTGGCAGAGAGCGCACTCAAGACCTGCAGGCACATCATCACCAGGCCTGAGGAATATGACAAATGAAGTTTTGTTCTTATCTTGAAAGAAAAATTGACCTTCAAAGTTTCTTCAAAGTTTAATCAAACTTTGACATTAACGTTTCAAACTTTTATCAAACTTTGAAAGGTACTTTAAAAGTTTCATCAACCTTTGATTGAGTATTCAAACTTTTATCAAACTTTTCATTTGGATTCAAAGTTTTACTGAAGTTTTACAATAGCCTTCAAATTTTGATAAAACTTTGAAATATTCTTTC